CAGCATCATTACGTGGACACTGTGTTCTGAGATTATGTCTTGGGAGTGATAACAAGTCACTTCAAGTAATAATGTAGTGAAACTGTACTRGAAGCACCTATATAATTCCAAGAACGCTGCCCTCTGTACTTTTCCTTAGTGTCATAAAACAGCATATGACGTCATAGTGAGGCACGCACATTTTGCAATACAGTCTCTACAATGACATAATAAATGCCATCAAAAGTATACAAATTCATTTTTGTCATTAGCATCTTTACAAAGTTTAAACTGTTTTTTTTTTTACAGATGTATAATAAAGATTTAAATAAACATGATGTTAGGGAAACTACTCTTCATTCGTGTCTCCCACAGTAAACAAACACAGCAAGCTATAATCCCACATAAGCACCTGTTTTGTCACATGACCGGTTTGTTAAAAAAATAAAAATAAAAAGGCCTAGCAGGGCTGTGCCCCTGTTGTAAAGGAGCTGGTTTATGTGGCACTTTGAAGTAGCAATTATCTACAAATCAGGGGACATCTGAGAGAGAGAAAAACAACAAAACAAATAAGGATGTCACATCGTTTTACGAGGAAGGCTCCTCAGTGTGCATACACCTAATATCCTGTTTTATATTTAAACACACAACCCCAGAAAAAGCACCAAGCAGGATGCAGATCAGCTTTAAATCGGAGAGGGTACGGTTTCCTAAAAAGCACAGGGTTCATCACGTCAGCGACTGTAAATAAAGACAGCATAGGATTGGTCTACAGAGGGGTGTGCAGTGATTCATGCTGACTGTGTAACAAGCATGAGCATTTCAAACACCCAACCCCACCCCTGAGGGAAACCTTGGATTGAACCTGTGTTTACATGGCTTCAATTATAGAAACAAACCAGTTCTCTCAAGCTGATTCTAAGTTTCATAAGGATATTTACTAGTTATARCACTTTAAGTCAACTTAAAACAACACAACAGCTAGAATAGAATATAAAGAAAGGTAAAACATCATTCTTATAGATTGTGACTTAATGGAAACTATCCCTATCGGTTATCCAGGATACCTGATAGCGGCTGATACAGTTTCCAGGTGCAACACGCTTACCTCCGATGCATCCTGCAACAAAGTCCATCACCGCACTTCAGTGGCACCTTGTTGAGGAAGTTATTATCCGATGCTAACTGGAAATGCTACCTGAAAGCTATTCGAAACTGCTTTGAAGCTTAATTTGTCTAAAAGCCGGCGAATTTGACGGTGACTTGACAGCGACTGCCCCTCGCAGTTTAATCGAGCTAATGGACCGACGCTAGCTGACACTGTCAGTTAGCAGCTTGTGTTAGCTGAGATAACCGGCTTGCTAGTTTTTTTTTTTAATTCCCACTAATAATCCGCAAATGTTAAAACGCGTGTTTTCTGTTTGTTTAGGTAAATCCCTTCTGTCAACTACTTGGTCAAATGGAAGCCCCTTATCGACCTACGAGTCCTTAATGAACCGCTCGCTGTGATGCTTGACAGCAGGTTTGACCTGGGAGGAGGAGCTAGTATGGCAGGCCGTTTTACCGTTTATTCGAAACCCACTCCTGTGTTATTCCATTTGTGGATCACTAAAACAACATTCTTCCTGGTCAAAATTGCATTCCTACCAGTCAGAACTGTAATTATAGATATCTACAATTACGTTTTGCCTAGCAGAAACTTAATTTCAGGATGTTATAAAATAAAATTGAACTACGAAGAATTAAGTTTCAGATATCTATCAATCTTTACAAATTAACATTTTAACATTTAATAGCTTGACTGGATATCTATTTCAGATATATCAAATACTTTTTTTTCCTAGTCCAAATGAACATTCCAGACATCTAAAACAACATTCTTCCTATCTAAAATGATTTTAGATAGGAAGATTATAGTATTTACTAGTACAAATGATGTCACTTTCCCCATCCATGTGTATTGGGCTTTTACTTCCAGATTTCTAAAATAACATTATTCCTATCTAAAATAAACATGCTGGATGCCTATAAATGAATTATGATGAGGATGAACTCTAATTTTTAGATCTCCATAATCTAGTTAAAGCTAGTCATAATGACCATTTCAGATATCAGAAATGAACAAATCATTCTAAATATCAATACTTGACATCCAAAATACATTTCTACTAGTATAAATCTAATTAAAGATATCATCTACTGATTATTTGACTAGTTAACGTGGAATTTCAGATATCTGAAATGTTAATAATGCCTATACAAATTGCAATTATAGGTACTTAAAATATATGTTTTGACTATCTTTCTGCAGAATAATAGGGCTCCGTTTTAWCATAAAATAGGCAAGCTGACTAGCCACATTTCTATTATAGATAGCACTAATACATTCTACCTAGTCACAATTAAAATATTCCTAGTCAGAATTGTAATACAGCTATCACCAATTACATTTATGCCAGTACGAATTAACATCTCAGTGATCTGTGATCAAATTTGTACTAGTAAAAACTAAGTTCCAGACACTGTATCTTAAATAGAATTATTCCTATCTGAAAAATATTCATTTCAGATAGGAAGAATCAAATTCTTACCAGTACAAATGACATGACTTTTCACATTCATGTGTATCGGGCTTTTATTTCCAGATATCTAAAACAACATTTCTCCTATCCAAAATGAGCATTTTACCTTTTAATTAACATTTTACATTTTAATTAACATTGTCTGGATCAGTGGCAGGTAATGATTAAAGCTACTCTTTAGTTTTTGTCATGTTCTGCATCTAAGCAGCTAATTGTGTGAGCACATTAAGGGATAATTGAAACATAATGTAAGATTAAAATGAACATTTTAGATAAGAAAAATGTTTTATTTAGATGTCTGGAATGTTTATTTTGACCAGGAAAAATGCATTTGAGATATCTGAAATAGACATCCATTCAAGTTATTAAATGTTAAAACGGTCTGCCACACWTTTCTCGTCACAGGAAATGATTCGAAATGGAGGCGGGTTTGAATACGCCGGTTTCGAGATCTATCCAATCAGAGCGAAGAAAAACCCCAGRCGCCCTGCTCGAGGCGTTACTTGCCATTCATTGGCTCGCTTGTTAWAAATTCGGAAATGGGGGTCGCGCGAGTTTAAGGGACAATGCTTACAAACATAACTCTTATGTTATTAATAAAAACCTTTGTTTGCTATAGCTAATAGACACGACTTTGTGTTGTTCGTACATTTTGTGGTTTAAATTACGTTTCGAATGTTCGTTATGAATGAAGTGCAACTTCAYTTTCTGTTCGGGTGAAATCGGAGCCACAGTCGTCTATTTCCGTGAAGAGCCGACTGTCATGTAACAACAACAACACAAGGTTACCGAATCGAGGGACAGACGTGTCCACATCTGACATGCATCGGTTTGCTCAGACGAAAGGATGTACATAATCGATTTCTTGTCTGGATCAGTGGCAGGTAACGATTAAAGCCATTCTTTAGTTTTTGTCAGGTTCTGCAGCTATGTGTTATAAGGGATAATTGAAACATAATGCAAATATAAGATTAAGCCTGGAGTAACGTTTAATTTTAACCTTTATCTTGAGCCAAAACCCCAGTGATATAAGTGCATTTGATTCTGCTTAAATATATGTAAACATGAAGTTTTTCAGATCATGTAAAACAGATATAAGAGATTCTCTTCTGCTTTTTGTGTTGCATTAAAAAAGTACAGTAATTTGATCTGTCTCAGTTTTAGTGTGCTCTCCTTGATGCTCTCTTTTCTCTGAACACAAACAGGGGCATGTGGAGTCGCTGTGGGGTATCCTCTGGACACTGTGAAGGTACAGTCTGTGTTGTCTGTGACTGCATCCAACACAAACATGTGTCATTTTTACATCATATTCTTAATCTTTTTAGGTCCGGATACAAACCCAGAGACAGTTCACTGGACTGTATCATTGTGTGGTGGAGACGTTATCAAACGAAGGAGTAAGTGTAATTGATGTAGAGTACCCTCACATTAGCTCTGGTTTAATACTTTTATTACTTATCGAATAATATTTGTATTTTTAGAAATCAAACACCTTGCAATGAGATCTTTTTTATCATAATTATATGAAAACAAAACAGAACAGAACAAAATTCTGAATTTGAATTCAGTTATCGTTTAATACACATAAAGAAARTAGTTCCATGTGAGCACATTTTACATTAAAACATCTGTAGTCATGAAGAAAAAAATTGTATAGGTCTTCTGGACGGGTTCTTCTCTAATGAAACGTTTCGTCTCTCCTCCAAGAGACTTCTTCAGTCTGAGAG